CCTCATACACTGGCTGTGCTCACTGTCCCAAAATAAGATTTCCAGAGAAATGGTAAGCAATTGCATTCCGTATCTCACTTGTCAAGGGGACAATTCATGTTTAGATACGGGAGTTCAGTTTCATCGAGAGATACATAGATTTGGAAGAGTACTGCCTTTCTTAATAGCCATACTTCTAATATATGCTTACTAATTGTTTTAATGTTATAGATAACTTTAGACTCTCCTTAGCATGTGATGTCACCACGCTGACACTGGGCGTTCGGTCTGGATATTCAATTAAAATAAATATCCTATAGAGACTCATTTCCTTCAGTCTATTTTTTTGGTACATGCTTTACAGTCAGACAGAAATAGGTTCTAATTCCATCTCTGCCATTTACCAGTTAGATGATCCTAGTCAAGTAATTCAGTTTTTGCATATGTAAATTGAGAGCAATTATTCAGACAAAATGTGAGTCAATAAAAAAATAAAATAAAAATTTGTGGCATATCTTCCCTCTCCTGACCCACCCTCCCCTGACCTGATTCTTACTCTTTTAAGTAGACTGAGGATCCAAAGTTCATGTCTCTCTGACATATTTTAAAAAATCTGTTATTCAAGGGAATTCAGAAAAATATGATCAAAGAGCAATGTGCTCTTTTTATGGATGTTACGATTTTGAAACAGTTACTCCTGGCTAGTGTTATAGGCTACCCTTATAGACTCCAAACATGTTTTGGACATAACAACAACAAAAAAATGTTGCATTTAGAGAAGACAGCCAGTAGAAAGTAAAAAAAAAAAATAAGCAAAAAGCTGTTTCCAAATATCCAATGATTCATTAAAATACTTTTGTTTCCTTAGGAAAAAAGTTTCCACATATGCACAGTAATCATTTGGCATTTCGTAGGCCTAAGCCTTGGGGAGTTAGTGGTATTTGGCTCCTGACATGGAAGTCTTTCTCTTGTCAGACAAACCCTTTCCCCTGCACATTCCTGTGCGAGTTCGTCTCTGCTGTGCCTGGTGGCAGGCGCGAGGTGGCCGGGCCCTGCCTGCACCGCCCCGGCCGCGCTCGGCCCCTTTGGCCTTTCCTGAGTTAGTTTTAACTCGGTGGCTACTAACTCATTCATTGCCTCTCTTAACTGGAGTGTCATTTTACCTGGACGACAGTTGTCATTGCTCTGAGATGGGGATGAGCCAGTTTAAGTGCATTAAATAAACCAGCTTGTAGTGTTTGAAGTCACTTAGGATGGTTTCTTTATTTTTGTTAACAAGTCTTCAGGGTCTCATAAGAAAAGCAGGGTCTCATATTTCTGAGAGATGTGGATCTTTTTAGGAAGTGATTGTGCGCTTTGAGAAAAAGATGGACTCGGTTGCCTTTCGATGTTGATTCAGGAAATCTAGGTTTTGAATATTTGAGATTTATCGTTCTCAAGAAAGACAATAACACTAGGGACGTTTCATTCCAGGGAGCCCGCACTAAGGCAGTACAGAAGAGCACACATGAGTAACAGTTTAAAAAAAGGCAAAGAATTGATTCATAGTCACGGAAGCGCACAGGGCACGGAAGGAGCGGGGCTTGAGTCCATGGAGAAGAGTATTAGGATGTTGTGAGTGTCAGCATATCAACCAATTGCTGTTTAAATTCTGTGTTCTGTTTTTTTCATGCTTACACTCAATGTTTGAAAAATTATGCAAATAAAATTTTCGCATTTTAGGTAGCTCTCAGGCCATTTGGGTACTTTAGAATTCTCACTTTAAACATTTGTGGTGGTGAGGCTGGGTGTGTGTGTGTGTGTGTGTGTTGTGCTATGTGTTGTAAATGTAAATATTTAAATTGATTCACTGTAATCTGTGAAAATTGACCCAACTTTATATGAAAAAAATTACAAGAGGGAATGAATGATAGGTATGCCCTTTTCCCTGCCTATTGGTAAATATATCATAGGCTTCCTTTTCATTTTATTTGTTTGATAGTCTCCAAGGAAATTTATTTTTAGTGTACCTGCCTTAAAGAGTTGGGAGAGCAATAAAAGGAAGTATATTTTATAATAATTCTAAACATTTGTACTTCACTCGAGAAATACTATATTACATATTACATATGTATGAAATATAAAGAATATAGGGAATCAATGCCTCCATCAACAAAAGAATGATTTTTAGAAAATAGATTAATGAAATGTATTATGATACAATAGCAGAGTTTGCTCAGTTTTCCCCATTTTATGTTGAAACGTATGAACCTTTTAGATTATTTTGCTTGTATCTGGCCATTCAACAATGGCTTAAAGAGAATAAAATAAAATAATTTGGCATTTAGCAAATTGTATAATAAATAGATAAAAAAGCTATACATTAAATTCATCTGCCATCAATTAAAAATTAAAATATTTTATTATTGGCATAGGTCATAATACTCTGCTACATTTATATCAGGATTTGGAGTTTACGCATTTTTACATATATATAAAACTTTAATTTTATTTCATTTAATAATTGGTTGCTAATTGGGACAAAATAAAACACTGCCTTTCTTAGGATAAATAACACAACCAGGGCTTTTTTATTTAAAAAAAAATATAAATGTTAAAAGTAAACAAGAGAAACAATAGCCGTGAAACGCGATTCTGACAAACTGATGCTGAGCTGAACATTAACAAGAAAATGAAATCAGCTACATAGATGATAACGAATGAATGTGGACAGTGAAGCTACTCTGTAGATTGGTTTAAATTTCCTTCCCATATAAAACCAGGGCTTCTTTCTAATATGCCAGAGTACTCGGCGAAGAGTGTGTGGATATGCTTAACATTTATGACTTCAAGTAAATACACATGTGCCCAGAGAAACAGTACTGTGATCTGACTAATAAATCATAATATTTGTTTAGTTTTATAATGGAATTTAAAGCCAAGAGTAAACTATAGAGGCTTTAGAGGTCATTTAGACCAATCCCCTCATTTAAAATTTGTTTTTAATTTATTCATTTTAGAGAAAGAGGAAGGGAGAAAAAGAAACCTCAATTTGTTGTTCCACCCATTTATACATTCATTGGTTGCTGCTTGTATGTGCCCTGACTGGGATCAATGCCTCACCCTTGGCATACTGGGACCATCAAACCCCCTGAGTTGATACGTAACTTATGTTATTGTGGGTTTTTTTTACTGTTGAAGTTAAATGCAAACATGTTCAAATTAGTGCAAAACAGACTGTAAGAAATATAACCACAGTCATTACAATCATCTATTCATCAGCAAGACATATGCACTCATGAGGAATGAATTATCTATTCATCTACAAGTGATAATTATATTGATATACATTTTAAAATAAAGAATCAATACACACATTTATAAATAGCAGCCCCTAAATAATAACCAGCAGCTCATAATATACCTGAACGTTTCAGAACTCACCTCACCCAAGAACAACATAATCGTTGCTAGGAGGAAGAGTTTAATTTACTGAATGATGCATTTATAATTTGGGCTATAGATTTCGAAGCTAGTAATTAGCTTAGAAACATAAGGGTCTGGATTATGTGTTTTGATAACATCTGCAAAATTATGTGCTTCCTGAGTATTCTAGAATGATTTATTTTTTCTACTCACGTTCATTTTCAGCGTGCATTTTTTTCTGAAATTAAAAACATGGTATCACAAAGGGCCAGGTTTTGCAGGCATATAGATGATAAAAAGCTCATTTTGTTATTAGGCTAGTGGATGTTATTATCTTTAGCATTACCTCCTTATGCCTACTTCACATTGAAATTGTTGATAATAAGAGTAGTATGTGTTCAGTGAACTATGTTTGAAGTCCTAAAAAAGCAGGAATAAGAAAGTAACTAAAAACAGACCAGCCAGAAAAACGATAGGAAATATAACATTTTGGCAATTTTTATTTCCGCACTTAGAAACCCCTCTCCTGCTCTCCTCCATCACATACATGCACACACGGATGTACACCTGCACACTTTAATTAGACACCCTGACTCCACCACNCCTCTCCTGCTCTCCTCCATCACATACATGCACACACGGATGTACACCTGCACACTTTTATTAGACACCCTGACTCCACCACGTACATGCTTGTGAGCTCTGGCAGGTTACTTCACTTCTCTGTGCCTTAGTTTCTTCATGTTTAAAATACTGATAGGAACAATATCCACGTGATAAAATCGTGAGGATTGCGTGGGGCAATTAATAAATATAAAGTTTTGTAAGTGCCTGGCATAATATATGAACTCTTATAATCACCATTATAATGTTTAAAAATGTGTTAAAATCACCAGATCTGCCTCCTTTGCACCTGAAAGGCACACTGGCCGCTGTCAGCACCTTGCGTTGCTCGTGGGCCGCAGCGACACCCTTTCCCCTCTGTGATAGTGGTGCAAGTGCAACATCTGAAAAATGTGTTCCGTGCAAAATGGATCTTCACACGGACTTACTCTGTCATTTCAGTTTGATTTTTGAGAAATGCGTTGGGCACATCTGCCAAATCCTTTCCTAAGACGCTGCATTCCTGCTTTATTTTAGTTTATTTCATTTACGAAAAGCTCTGTCCTCCTGCGCCCCACCCACCCTCAGACAGCCGGGCCTGCGGTCGCCCTTGGTCCCCGACCCCAGCGACAGCGTTGCTGCGGGTTCAATGCGCAAAATAAAAATAGAAGGAAACCGGGAAGGAATCGGGCCGCTGTTTTGCTTTTTTTTTTTTTTTTAAGTCATCTTTCCTTTGGTCCATCCCCATGAACAAAACCCGCGCTGCACACTCTGGAAACACCCAGTCCGATAAGGGCCTGGGTGTCTCTCTAGCTTTGGGGTGGATTCCTCCCGAGGGTGGGAAGCCGGAGGCCGGCGCGGGGAGGGCAGAGAGGGAGCCGGGCAGGCGGCGGCCACCGGGAATCCTTTTGAGAACAGATGTGAATATTTATGTGTTTTAAATTGAAACGTTAAGTAGCCCGCGCGTTTTGACAGGCCGTCTTTGATACTGTGTTTTGTTTATTCCACCCCAGAAGAAGTTAGCGGTATACAGCGAGATGCAGGACTCTCTGGAAGTCACCCTGCCCAGCAAAGCAGAGGAGCAGGAGCAGGAGCAAGAGCAGGAGCAGGAGCGGGAGCAGGAGAAGGAGCGGCCTGCCGAGATGGAGTACCTTAACTCTCGCTGTGTCCTTCTTACTTATTTCCAGGGAGACATTGGGTCAGTAGTGGATGAGCACTTCTCAAGAGCTTTGGGCCAAGCCAGCACCCTCCATCCAGAATCGGCCATTGCAAAAAGCAAGGCGGGGCTAAGCCCCCTGTGGCGAGGTAAGGCTTTAGCAGCAGATGCTCTCCGGGGGGCTCCCCCCGTCTCTGTTTCGCAACAACGGCCTGTACCGGGCCTCCAGCTGGAGGCTTGCCCCCGAAGGACGGATATCCACTTGCTTTTTAATTTTTAAGGACAGCGAGGAATTCCTCTCAGACAAACAGCTGGATCGGTTTTGTCACATGGGGAACGCAGGGTTGGAAAAGATGCAGTCACACCCCTTAAATTCCTCGTGGAAGGTAGTGAGGCGACCGGCCCGAGGTGATAGGGGCAGGAGCTGGCCGCGAGACACCGTTCCTTAAGCCCCCCGCGATGGCCCGGTTTGGATGTCTAAGGAACAGGCGGGCCTGGATCAGCTTTTAAAAGTTAGCTCTCGCTCATTCCACTAGGTGCTACGTGGTGACATAGCAGAGACCTGAGTCTGACCCCGAAACGCAGGCTGTGAAAGCCTCCTGTGTTCTCTTGATAGCTCTCTGCGTCTGTCCTGCGTTGTTGTGTATTAACTCTGTCATGTACAATCCAGACATTACTGACTGACTGTATGTACGTGGTTTAGACCTCGGTAAAGTAAAACAGTAGATCGGGCATGCCCTTCTTTATTTCCCTCTATATGGAGCTCACAGATTTGTGTGTGAATCTGGTTACCCGCTCACTGAAAATTGTTGGGTGACATCTTCATTGGGATCATTACAAGGTTAGAGAAAAAATAAGCCATCATTCCAATGACAGTTTAGAGAAATGTGCTATGGATGGTATTTTCTGAACTCACCAGATTATTCGAAGCTTCTGGTAAAATAGTTTTCAAAATGCAGTTTCCAGGACTAAGAACATGGGAACTTATTAGAAATGCAGATTCCTGGGCCACACCCCAGACCTACTGAACCAGAAACCCAAGGGTAATGTGTGTTTAACCAGCCCTCCCAGTGACCCAGATGCAGGCTCCCATTTGATAATCACTGATCTCGTGCTGTTAAAAACACTGGTTGCAGGCCGCCTAACTCAGTCCTACTGAGTCAGTGTCTCTAAAGGAAGGCTCTGGGAGTCACCCTTTAACAACTGCCCCAGGTGATCTATGATGAGGAAAGGCTGGTCACCTGTGGCAGGCTACCTGTGGTTGGGGGCAGGTGAGAGGTGATGAGTGGTCGGTTCCCTCTCAGCATCAGAGGAATGGTTCTGCTCCATTGTAGGAGAGGTCCTGGCCGTATGAAATTACCGGGCCTGATATGTAGATAGGATGCTTGTCTGTCT